CCAGTTTAAATGAATTCATATTGTCAGTATCATCCATATGTTTTCTTTCAAACTTAATGTCAAATATATTGTTTTGTTAAGCTGTATTAATTGAAAACCTGGAGCATTCAACGACATACTTGTAATAGTATATTTGATTGAGGTAGATTAGCATAAAAAGCCGCTAAATGTAACAATGAATGTATATATTCCCAGATGTCGATTGTTTTAATATCTTGGTTATTCTCACATGTCATTTTAGATTTAAAACACATTTTATTCATCAAACTGTCTTCCAATTGGTATTTTAATAGCAGCAATTAAATAAAAAACCTGGAATGAGATTATATCACGCCATCTTGTTTCGTGGAATTATCATACCGCCATTTTGACCTAAAGTCTGGTATGCGAACGATCGATAGCAACTGGAATTCTCTGATATTTGTTGAATACATAAAAAAGAAACAATGCTACGCCAGAAAAAATATCTGAAATCTTTACATTAATACACATAAGTGTGTATTTTCAACAAAGCTCTGTAGGGATTGTATTCAGTAGCACCTCACCATAGTGGAACTATGTTTGAACACCGAACTATACAGAATCACACTCAGAAGCACCTAATGTAGGGTCTAATGTAGGGGTTAAATCCTTTATAATAACTGGCTTCTACAGACAAATATACAGGCTTAAGCTTTGTTTTGTGTCTTTGAAACTCATGAAAGAGAATGTGTTATTTGATAGAATTGTTAAATTGATTTCTTATAACATGGCAGCCTATACCTAAAATTTCAATGAGGAATAATCTCTCAAAAATTTGAATGAATGCTGTCATTTTCCAGTATTTCTATCAAATATTGAGTATGCATGACACGCCTGTATACTTTATTTTTCATCATTTTAACATCCTTACATATTCTTATTTATATTTTCCATTTTAAAACATCGCCACTTTTCAATATTTCTTATTGGCCCAGATTTTGACGTGGCAAGATTTCAGTACATAAAACAGGCCCAGTTGAATTGATAAATTATATAAATTAGACATCATTAAATGATTCAGATCTTAAAGGTAAATGTTTGACACCTTTGTGCTTAAATTCAGTCTATAGAAAGAAGCTGTATCAGCTGCAAATGATTGCAAAGTTAGATTCTTATAAATAACAATAATTTCAAAATGTCCAAAGCTAGAATTCCAACATTTACCTAAATAAGAATCATGTGAAAAATACTTAATATATAAAAAAGAACATATAATGTTTTCAGATTTATTAATGTGTCCAAACGTATTCTGGCTGTATTTCTTAAACTTTGAATTGATTCAGTGTTAAATTAAGTGAATTGACTAAACAGTAAATGGTTTAAAGTTTTGTGGTGCTTTGGATCAGCTATTGGAAGTATGACGCTACCTAAATAAGCATTTTCCCGCGTTGGGAATAATCTCTCCAAGTATATTAGGATTAAATCTCAAAAGCTTTATTCTATAGAAATATAATCCTGATTATGAGACTTGTTAGGTAGCATATAATATAATATAGCATTCTACCTTTGAACTCTCAAGTGTATATACAATGTTATATATCATATTCTCCGTGTGTTCCACATTGTTTTCTTTGACGGTTTCAAGTTTGATCAATGCTTGGTTACTCATATTCATGAATCATTTTCATTTTCCCTTATAACTACATGACTGTATAACTGTATGAGGTACGTTCACTGTATGATATACATGTATATTTGATATTATGTTTCTTTGGTTTTCTACGAATGTCCCAAATTTGGTCAGACGTTCCTTCAATCGTTTAATTGTTAGCAGAATTTTATTGCATAAGTCTAATCTGGAGTATTGATATTTAGGTTATCTTTATCAGATATTTCACGATAAGTGTGTATCTATTCAAAATAGGAATTTAAAAGTCATTTTTCTGTGAACGAGCATTCAATAAGGAAGTTCAATTCATAAATCATCATATAGAAACTGTTCATGTCTGAATTGTTCTACAAACACAGATATCTCATAAATAGATTTAAAATTGTGAAATCTGTATAGCATATGTTTCCAAGAGGCTCATTTACCTTTCTGAAAGTAGGAGCATGTTTTATTCAACAAGACATGTGTTCAATAATTTCCGATGAGTGATTTTTGAATTTGAGAATTCGATCCTTTAGTCACTCTTCATTAAAGATGGCCTCCTGTAATTTTATTTCAATGTGTTGTATAATGATTTGCCTATGATAAGTTTTGTTTGAGATAAGTAGACTTCGGTCAGATCCATGCAAAATTACTAAGCCACGCTTATATATTTCAAGTACAGTAGTGTAGGCAGTGTCATGGGCTTTTGAAAGTCCATGGCAGTGTTACAAACATTTGGTTCAGTGTTACAAGCATTTTGGACTCTATTTTGGAATCTATTTAATACTATATCATAATCTATTTTTAAAGCTGTTTTCAACGGTTATGCCACTATATTCTCTGTTAAGTAAGGTCAAAAATGAATTAAAGATACTATCAATGAGATACATGTACATAGACTTAACGGAAGTCTGCAAAGTAAAATTTGTAAATGAATTGATGGCTGGAATTGTTGGGGGAATGTGATGGGATTTTATATTGAAGAGGTTGAAATCACCGTGGATGAATTGACTCACAAGACTCCTGTATAAGTTAGATTACAGATTTCAGTTCTGTTTATCTTATATATAATAACAACCTTTTTATAAACTTTACTGTAGGTGTGTTTACTCTTAGGTTACTTGGGACATGGGCTTTCAACTAATTGAAAGTCCATGCTTGGGATCATAAGAATTTGGAGTCTCAATGCTAGTTTGATTTTTAATCGAAAAGAAAACGGGAATACAGAATAGACTCTTCATGTGACTGATTTCATTTGGCGCATAGATTCTACAAAAATTTCTAGCACCATTTGAAATCAGTTTTATGGAAAGTTAAAGTCAACTCAGTAAATTCCTCAACAGACATTTTTGTGTCAGGAAATACAGAAATAATTGGAATCAGAAAGTGGAGAGAACTGGTGATACATCATCACATTGAAGATTTGTTTAAGAAAATGTTGAAGGATATGAGAAATAAGAAAGAATCCAGAAGATAGATGAGACCATATCTGACCAAGTGATGTTCCTATAGATGATACCACAATTATGGGAACATATGAAGACATAACCATGGCAACAGATGAGTCTTAGAAGTAGAACGTTATGGCAACAGGATGAAACAGACATGAAGATTAGTGATGAAATTTTCAGAAGATGATGGGAAGAACAAATTGAAAAGAAGATGACAAGGGAAAATAGAGAGATGATGAGAAAAAGATGACAAGGAGAGATGATGAGAGAAGAGGAAGATGTTCTGAAGCGAATGTACCATTTTCCAGAAACAATAAGAACCTCAACAGTACCATGCACAGTGTGTTTCTAATGTTTTGAATCATTTGTAGTTTGCTTATCTTTTATTTAATATTATTTTTATTCTTTTGCCAGCTTTGTTTCAGTAACTGCTTTTGCAAGTTTTTTTTTATTCAACTTCAATCAATACAAATGTTTTTCTTTTAGGTTATGCTGCTGCTAAATTCATTCTGATAATCATTACAACTTTCTTTTTTGTTACTACAGCATCGCAATATAGGAAGAAAGAATAACTTTTTAAGGCAAGATCATGAAAATTGTATGAAAATTCTCATTATTTGGAACTTAATCTGATCTGATTGAATACAAAATGTTGAATGTGAATCTAACAGGCTGCCATATTGGATTCCATCATATTTTCCCTCATTGCTATTCTGAATAGAGTTTGCTAAATCCAAGTACAGAATATTATCATAAATGTAGAAATTATTGATAATTTAGTACTTGAACAACAAGCTCAACTTGATGGAATCTCTTTCACATTATAACCTGTACTAAGTCCGGATATAATTCGCCCTGGACCAGTATACATAAGGATTGCAGTAATGAATAATTAAATTCATCGCATGCTATCATCATTGACTATTTCATGAATCAATAAACGCTAAAATCATCATCTGAAACAATTGTATAATTGGCAATAATATTGAATCTATACCAATATTTCCATTTATATTATAATCATATGATTTTGCCATGATCCGAATCCATATGAAGAAGTCATGCATCAAATTTCCCATCCACCCACATTTTATATAACCCGAACCATTTAAAGAATCTTCTAAAAATCACGGCATGTCCCAGATAATGCAAGATTATGTTTTGTTTTCCATATTTGGTTCACTGGAAAATATTTTTTGATTATAGTATAGACATTTTGGTATAACTTCTGAATTCACGATTCTAAAACCTTTAAGACTTATCATCTCGTATTTCATTCATTATCTGTCAGTGTGACATTAAAGTCCAATTCTTTTTGAAATCATCTCTCTGGTAGATACTCAAAGGAATTGAGTGGTCTCCCGAGGTATCCCATAATTCAATTTTCAACATTCTATCAACATTCTGTCAATACAGTGAAGAACGTTTAAACCTTATGTTCTGGTAATGACTTAAGGGATGTTTTGATTGAATTAATATGTGTCAAATCTTCATCCTGGACATGTACTTGAATAACCACAACACTCAGTTGATCTCGTGAAGGTTCTGTATTGTGTCCAATTTTGACAATGTCTTCTCAATATAACATGGAAATATTATGATATCATAATATGAAGTTTTCCTTTGTAGCTTGGCAGAAAACAGTGAATATTGGAGCTTATGAATGTTGGAAATTTAGAGGAGAAATTATTACGATAGTCCTGCTTCAAGCCCTTGTGACACATCCCCATATACACCTCAACTGAACAAGCTGTTGGAGGGAGGCAGTCGAAAGACTTGATACAAGATTACAGTTTTCTGAATGCAACTTTTTGTTTTGTAGATCAATAAATCATGTTTATTTGGTGAAATGTGGTATATCTACAATTACCAACAACTCTTTTTATTATGGTTTATGTTCAAAAACAGTTATTTTGATATTGTTGTTGTTTCTATAGCAACGGGAGGCCAAGAAACAGCTCAAGGCGGCACATGAAGCAAAACTTCAAGAGGTCTGCAAAGAATCATTAGGTAAGTAAAAGTAGAAATATTTCCAGAATTTTAGTTATCGTGAAAACTCAATTTTAGCAAATTTGTCATTGGGGATTAACTGTTGAATAAATAACCTGTTCACATCATTCATTGAATATGATTCTGCATGGCAGAGAGAAAGAAAACTAGAATGATAGGACGTTTATTTTCTGAGTGTTGCTTGGATACTGTTATTTGGGTTAAGACTATATGATATATTTTTGGTTCATCACAGAGACTGATCGTCAGCTGATTACCGAGCGGCAAACAAGACGTGATGAAGCTTTACGCAAGAAACAGGAAGAAGAAGAGGAAAGAATTCGGGCCAATCAGCTGAGCAGACACGCACGATTTGTAAAACAACCTCAAAAGGCATCATCCTGGCATACCAACTCAAGTTCTCATATCAATGAAACAGAAACAGCGCCATCTGTTATTGAATCCGTACCCGAGCAAATTGAACCACGTGAACTCTCAGAGAGGGAGCTGGAGGCATTGCCATGGCACCATGCGCAGTTGGTACGACTTTACGGAGAGGATGAAGCTGAGGGATTTGTCAATCCGAAGGTGGAAGTGAATAAAAAAGAGGTTCCTGTTGACCCGTCTCTACGGAAACAAGGAGGTGAGAACCCAATATGAGAATTCTTCTTTGTATACTAAAAATTGATCAACAAGAAATAGCAATTAAATGATGGAACTGAATATTCGTTTTATTAAATGCTTATTAATTCATAATCACTGGTAAAATATAAATATAAATCGTTGTCACCCCACTATGTATTACAGAGAAGGGGGAAAACTTGACAGCTTGATGCAAGGCTAGATACATTTCTTAGAAATCATGTTTTTCAATTCTCTTTAAATCACTCTTAAGAGGGGAACACCCTATTACCCTACCATTAACTAATACTAGTTCAAGGTATAAGAGTCATTGAAGAATCTTAAAATTTGTATTTGTCTTTGACTTCAGCACTCAGTGCCCCAGAAACAGACCATGATATCTGGGGCGTGTAACATTTTTTCTTACAAATCCTTAAATTCTTTACATCTAATGTTAATTGTGGTTTATTTGAATTCCTTTGATTGACATTACTAAGTGGCATACCCTCAATTCCAGGCCCTGACCTTTTTCAAATATATTTTTAAATATGCATTAGCGTTGAATACATGCATGGCAGCCCGTCCAGGTGCATGTATTTGAGTGCAAATACTGCGATCAATATAGTCACAGCTCAAATTCGATACAATAATACAATTCTGAAAACTCTAAATGGTTTCCAAATAATGAGCCAAACAATTTAAACAAATAAATACCATAGAGTGGAGCAGTATGCTACCGTAGAATTCCTTAAGCAAACATTCACGTATTGGAACTTTGTTTCATTTCCCGTTGATTTTGTTTCAAATTTCATATTACTGCAAAACTAAGGCCATTTGTTTATTCAAATGCTTTTCTCTGCACCAGTTATGATTTTAATCTAAAATCTTTTTTTGGATATTAAAATAACTTTCTGCGAATCAGTTATGATTTCAAACTTTCAAATTGAAATCTTTGAACTTCACAAAAGTTATTTGTCTTAAATATACAGTATATTGGCATAATTTTGTCAGAAACATTTTTGAATTCATATTGCATAATGTTTCCAGAAACAGCTGGCCATCCTTTCAAACTTAAACCATAGTTTTCCTGGGTCGTGAATTAAAAATGAGTTATGAATTGAAAATGCAGATTTAATAAAAGTACATGTACTCAAAGGGCATCTGTATACCAAACATATGTTGGCATTCTTTGTTAGAAAATGATTTTTTGTTCAATAAGTTCGGACTAAAATCACAATGCATCATGAGTTATGCTGGTATGTGCAATATGCTGGTATATGCAATATCATATTATTAATAATATTACATAACATATCAATAAATTAATAATAATAAGAATTGCAAATACTCTTGAAACGGTTGCATGCAATAACATGTACCAACCAGAGTAGTTCAATATTGTTCATATTTTGCCATTAATTTCAAAATGGAGGTCTGCAGGAGTATAAATGATTGATTTTTACTTAGGGAACCCTTGTACAATTGCCCTATTGGACGCAGGGCTTTTGTTTAGAGTCAGGCGATGAATCTATCGATTGTTATACTACTTCACCGTATAGTATGTGTAATGATTGAATCTAAATAATCCTGACATTTTCATTTCATGTTATGTTGTTATGTATATCAAGAAATATCTATTGATTCTGTTCAAATTCTAATTTTTGTGCAATTTTGCCTCCTGGTTTTATCTTTGCTTTTTAGTTGTTTTTGATGTGGTATGTTTCTTGAAATATTGTTAAAATAAATATTTTTGATAGGGATAAGGCTAATTAATGTCAATAACGTTGAAATTAGAGTTACCCAATTTGACTCCCGCACTCCAAATCCTAACAAGGAGCTGTATTAATAAAGTTGACAGCCAGTTTTGTATTACTCTTAAAGAACATAGTATTTCATTCGTTTTATCATGTAAACATAATCCTGGATCTTTTTAATTGAGTTTTCTCGAAGTATGGACCACATAATCAATTCTTCATCTTTGGGTACAAGAAAATCAACTCACTTCTATCTGACATATTTGTTAGCCTAATATTAAACCTTGTAAAAAAGTTCAATTATTTGTTCAAAATAATTATTAATTTGTGACAACCAAACCTTCCTGAAATTACTATTACAGTGAAACCTGTTAAGTGGAACACCTTAATAAGTGCGACATTTTCAGACTTCCACAATTCATTTTTAACATCCATGATGCTTCGCTACATGACATATTGGACTGAGGAATGGGAATGGCATGCCAAAGGGGGGACTAGAACATGCTTGAAAATCGGTGTGAGGTCGGGTTCGGCCGAGTAAGCACCTCCTGCTGTATACTCCCCGTCCATATGAGCTATCATATGGAACACCTAGTGGTCTGGTGGTTGGCCACATAAACAAGCTTTGTTCTAGTGGGACTTAGGTGGACTGGGTCACCTTTGGGTTCCACTTATCTCTTCTTCTGATCCACAGCCATCTGGAGCTGTCTTCTGCTGCTGAGCTGATAGACTTTAAGGCACTCTTGAGCTCCTCAATTGACTTCATGTTAAATGAAGCTCTGTATGTGGAACTCCTCCAAGATGGAACAACTTATAAGTATCAAAGGTGTTCCACTTAGACAGGGTTTACTGTAGTTTACTGTTCTACAGTTTTTCTGAATCGTCTGTTTAATACACTGTACATTTTATATACTAGTACATGTATCTGAGTTCAAAACTATATAGTACCAAACTGAGGCCATAGCTTACACATTTACATTGCGTTTTATTTTTAAATCTGATTATCTCAAAGATTAATCATTTTAGACAGCATGTGTTAAATCAGGATTTCTCTAAGTCCATGTTATATAATACATCAGTTTCCACATCACATCATATGAAATGATCCACAAGGATAATGTATGAAACACATATATTCATGCTCTGTGATCGCTCTTTGCACAAAGTGTTTACATGGAGGGTGGGATAAGATTATTTTTGTAATTCATCATTTCATCTGGAAAAGTAGATTTACAAAAGATAAGAAGGTATTAACTCTGTCATGTAAAGTTAACTATTCACTGAATATCATGAAGTGTACTAAACTCAGGTGAAATAAAACATGCATCACTAAATCCCAAATTCCAAATTACTTTGTCATATTTAAATTAAGGGGAGGGGGTTAATACTTCACAAACCAAGGCCCTCAACAAAGTTCAACATTGTAAAATTTTGCAAGTCAAATCAGTTACAAATAAAAACCCTAAGTTCATTTTTAAAACAGTGTAGTTTTTCCTGGATCATCTAGAAATGTTCTGTTATATGGAGAATAGGTCTAGCTTCTTTTGGCAGTTATATATATAAAAAAATATTTAAAACTGTATGAATTGTACTTCTAATATGGCCAGAACAGTTGAGTATATCTCTGTTACAAAAGTGTAGAAAAACGATAAATATATAAAAATAGAAATAATTTCATTTCCTTTCATCGATTCATTTCAGGGGGCATTAAACTTTCAGAGAATATAGAACTATCATCAGAGAATGAACCACTATTAGGTTTATCCACTACGGCATTGCAGTGGCTATAATGTTTCCCGCCATGTCATCTGTCGTTTCACCAACATGCTCGGAAGGTATTTCATGGGCGACACTTTTCCTTCATGTTTTTACGCCGACACATTAACAGATTCCCAACTTTGATTGTGTGGTTTTCTTAACATCAGTTAAACTTTTGCAAGATCAAATTTTTTTTTTAATTTTATTATTTCCAAACATTTCTGACCATTTTAATTTAATTTTAATAAGTGTGAAATTGCACCAATGAATGACTGCACACAAACAGCTAATACGTGTTACAAATTTTTCCCTTTTATTTTCCGTGTTTTCCAAATTTATTTATACACATTTACAGCACTGTTCACTTTGAAGGAAAGGTGTTCAACATGAAATCCAAAATAACCAAGAAAAAAATGATTACTAACCTCAATAAAAATAATATGATTTAAAAAAAAATACATGTGACAACCTATAATAACAAATAATAATGACAACAAAAAGTTTATAGTCATAGTAGACGTATGTATAAACACATTTTGGTAAGCTAAAAGTCAAGTTAACTAATATTGATATGACCGTGAGAGTACATCCATGATTGTAATCATGCCTTTAAAATTAGAAACAAGGTCAGGTATATCTAGAAATCATATCAGAGACGTCATATTAAAATAACTCAATTTATACAAAACATCCAGGACAGGTGATTTCTTAAATGAAGTTTTATTTTTATAACACTGCTGTTGTAAAGTACATTTCAATCAACTTCCAGACACTGTATTAATATTTTGAATATCAAGCTTGAATAGATGCCAGCTTAATGAGACCTTATTAAATTCATTTCGCTTTAAAAGACACAGCTCGAAAAAGCTTGAAAACCAACAAAACCACAGGGTGCTGTGAATGCCCACTTGACCTTTTGTGACCTTACAGCTCGAAGATCAGGTCGGTTAAAGGTCAACAGATAGTGCAGACGTGGTCTTATGATTTAAAGAGTATATTTGAGTGACAGACAATTAATATTTGAACAGCCTCCGGTTAACAGATAAAACTTTGTGAGAGTATAATTGGGTGTGCATCAAATAAAAGAAAAAGGTGTTTGAAAAACAAACGTTTTAACGCTCATGTAATATGATACTGTCATATGTACATCAAATCAAAGTTTCCATGTGAATTTGTCAGCATTTTCATCAACAGGTGTACAAAAATTAATTCCCTGGAAATCCATTGATTTTCTCCTTGATTTAATAGTCAAACCTATTCATAGACAACCCACAAGTAAAAGAAACTGAATAACTGAATCATAGACCCCTAGTATTTTGTGCAAGAATTTCTCATTCCATCCATCACAGCCGATTAATAATTATTAATATATTTTAATTTTGTGATTTCAGGTCGTGCTGGTGCCAATGCATTATGGGATACATTACGCAATAAGTCGAAGGAAAAGATGGAAGAAGTTGACATGATGATTCCGGAAGAACTAAAAGTAAGAACTCTCGTTGGCTTTAATTAAGCATAATTTGCTGGTGTATGTGTATGTGGGAGTTGCCTGATTAATGTCAGCCTCGGTTTTGCTCACGTCATCTTCAGCTCAAAAGATCTGATGACGTAAATCCGGCATTCTCATCGGCCAATCATTGTGCAGCACACGCACCTGTTTTTCAAAATAATCTCGAACTATGAAAAGCGAAATTCAATCGTAATTTTCGATATTACCATGTATTTAGTAAGTGGGAGTTGCCTGATTTGTCAGCGTCAGTTTTGCTCACGCCATCTTCAGCTCAAAAGATCTGATGACGTAAATCCAGTATTCTCATCGGCCAATCATTGTGCAGCACACGCACCTGTTTTTCAAAATAATGTCGAACTATGATAAGTAAAATTCAATCGTAATTTTCGATATTGCCATAGTAACACCTTAAAAGGCAATTGAACAACAGAAAGAATAATCGTCAAGGTTTTCGAAAACCCACCTTGGGCTATATTTATATTCATAACGAGTTTGAATCTTCATAGAATGTGTACTGTATTATCTCGAGATCATGAAAACATTTAACAAAATTAAATACAAGCCGCTTCTTTTGTACTAATGTTTTCACACCTGAAATCTTAATTCTTCCAGTTTTTTTATTCTTCCAATTTTTACCAAATATCCTATCTGAGTTGAGCTGAGATTTTGAAAAGTTGAAACTGACTGATCCAACATATATTGGTTATTAAGGAGTCTTGGAAATGCTTTTTATTCATTTTCTACTACGTTTTTCAATTTTCAATCTCTAGCCATTTTCTTAATATTTAGTAAATATTTGAATGTACGGGGTGTCAAAAAACAATTGCACCTGTCTGTAATGCAAGAACTGTTTAATGAAGTACACTCTGACATATACCAACTTAAAGCAAATTTAGTTCTGGATTTACCACTGCAATTTAGTCACGAATGATTGAATATGAGGTTAATTGCAGCCTATATAGTAATTATTCAACTTTCAAATAAGTTGACTTATTCCATAAGGCAGCAGAAACAAATAAGATTGACCTGACTTGAATCCTTTGTTGGAGTTAGTTAATGAACACACAGAATGAAATCCTTGAGACATTGTGCTAATTATGGATACCTATATAAATTATGCTAATAATCATGTTTTATTTTATTTCAGAATGCTTTTAGCGCCTTTATCCGGGAAGGATTGCACCAGAAAAAGAAGGTCATCAAGCGCAACTATGGTGGAAATGATGTAAGTATATGGGTTAACACTTTTTGAACTTCCTTCAGTTTCAAAAATAGGAAGTACATGTACGAGTACATAGGAAGTGGGTACAAACTCCAAACCCAGGTCTACAAATAGCTCACTATGTTGAGTAATATTCCTTATTCATATCCTATATATAGTTCAATTTAATTCATGATTAACAAATGATTGCTTAAATGTTGAAGAATGTTGAGTTTTTTTACTGGTCCTGGTTAAACTTAGAAACCTTAGATTAAATAAATCATGAGATTAATTTAATTTCTCCACAAATTGGTACGCCCGATTACAAGAAAAACAACCAAAAACGTCAATACTTTTGCACTGATCAGAATCATATTATATTAAATCATGTAAACGACCACATGAAATGTTTTTCCATACAAATGGTGTGTACATTTTCAGTTCATTAATAACTAAATACACCCTTTAGGTCTAAACCCTGCGTGTATTTATGAGCCAAGTTCCTTACATGCACGCATATGGATTTTCAAAATACAATAGAAACACTTGAAACTGTTTTTATGGAAAGCCGACATTGGCACGATCGATTCAAACTTTCAGATCGACTCTCACTTAATGTTTTTAACTCGATTCTTGATAGCCAGTCTAATTATTTGATTCCAATATTAGTGTATTTCAGTGCATTTAATTGATAAAAATAAATCAGATAGCATGATAGGGTCACAAATAAAATGTGATTGCAACTAAATAGCAAATGGTCCTTTGGTACTCATATCAGGAATTTGGGAATTTCTGTATTACAAAGTTGTAAAAAAGTTGAATTAGTTCATTTAAACCAGATATGATTCATTTGCATTTCATGTTTCATCAGAAAAACTCTATTTAGATTTTTTGAAACTTTGTACACATGAAATATAAGAAACTAAAATAGCTCTAGACCCTTATTTAAACAAACCTATGGGCCTATTACCGCTCAATGGTTTACTCAACATAGGCTAGAGGTAGTAACAATAGAAATCTATACTGTGTAAATTGACTCAGTGGCACTCGGAGTTTGGCTAGCATCACAGATCAAGCTACCATGCTCATGAGTACAGTGAATATGTTTTTGAATTATCTGTAAAGAAACCAAGGTCTTCAGTGGCAAAGCTAGGGCCCTAGGGGGAAGGGGGGGGGGAGGTGCTAGACATAAATGGTACATTGGTTAGTGACAGTTCAATGTTACTTGCAAGACTATCACTCCCTCTAGAATTAGAACCTTATTGAACAGGTATCATTAAGGTGGGTAAAAGATAGTGACTTTTGAACCTGTCAATAAGTTAATTAATCATATTACTCACCCTCCTCCGCCTACCTTAAACATCCATGAATTCTAAGAATCCATTGATATTATAGCCATAAGTGGTACATTAGAACAAACATTCGCTGCTTTGCAAAATGGGTAGCTTATAGTTACAAAAGACAAACATACTCCATTGTTTCTTTTTTCTCTATAAATTGATGTCAGATTCCGTTGCATGAGACTAAGCAAACAATTGCTATAGCAACCATTAAAATGGCCGCCGGGTACAATGGTGGATCAATTGAGAGCCAATAAAGCTCATCCTGTGGCAGATATGGAGGAAGCATCCAGTCAATAGTGTCTGTGTGTTGAAGTGATAATATGGAATATGTATTGTAATATATTTGAGTCAGAAAATGCTTGTCAATACATGTAACTAGAAACCCCAATAAACATGGACTTCTTGCACTAGAATATCCGCTGACTGAGTTTGGCTTCAATATGCGAAGTGCACAACTAAGCATAAACTACAGTAAAACCTGCGAACAGGGAATGCTCTTGGGACTGGAGGAAACTTTCCTTGTTCAGAGGTTTTCCCTATAGAGAGGGGCCACACTTTCAGCAAACTCAAACTTGCCGAATAAGCATATTTGTATATATATATTGATTGATTGTACAAATGCCGACTCCATACTTGTTTATGTTTTCCCCATGTTTATTTTAGCTGCTGCTAGTGTCTGATGATGTCCAGTTGATGTAATTATTGATATGATGTGTAGAGATATAGTGCTAAGAACTGAATTTCAAGTTTCATCAACCCCATTTTATATCATTGATAATCTAGAAGTTGGATCAGTAAAAGATTTAAAGAGATTTGGCTCAACATGACCAAATGTACCACATGTACTTACTTTCTGTTATCTCCATAAAACAATTGTGTCAGTACCTAGATTATCACAACTGATTTGATGTAATTAGGTTTTTGAAAGGAAGAATTAGCTCATGATAATAAGTAACAGACAGATTAGTATTAGTTTTAAAATAAATCAGGGTAATTAACAGTGGGTGGGATGCTACATCATGTAAGCAATTGGCTTATCTTAATCTCAATCATATTAATCCAAGCTTTTTATATTCAGATATTGGCTTAAGACTTTCACACCTCTGAAAAATAATGGAATATACAGTGTCACCAATATTCCATATTCCTTGTTCACAGGTGAATTTTTATAATTTGCCCCAAAATAGTGTTCCTTGTTCCCTGTTCACAGGTTTTCCCTACAGAGAGGGTCCGTTAACATGTAAGTCAATGGAAAAATATTTGGTTCTTTTGAAAAGCATTCCTTGTTCATAGGTTTTCCCTACAGAGAGGTATTCCATCGGACAGGTTTTACTGTATGTATAAATGTGTAAACTAGTGTAAACTATGTTTAAATGATTTGGCCGATTTGTGCCCAACCTCTGGCATTCATAGCACATGTGTGACCTTAAAAGTCGATTCCACACACCACATACTATAGTATATAAAACTCCTATTTACTCTATTTAACCTATGTGTTTAAGTAACATCTGCTGTTCATATTCGACAGCTTATCCCAACAACATTGTGATGTTTAAATACTTTTAAACTGACAAATGTAAAATGGCTGAAAAGAGGTTTTATTGAGTTATTGTATACAGTTTTGCAATGTGCCCCTGGTTCCCTCAAATCTCTTTATTGTTGACTCTGAGCTGGTAAATAGATATGGGGGGGATCACCAGGGTCGAGATATAAAGGTGGAAGGGGTGCTTGACGTAAAGCTACAATATATCACATGCCTGTTTACTGTGCTTTAGGTGCCTGATATGGAGAGACTCATGGATCAATCAAAATATCTGGCGATCAAGGATCTTCAACACAAGACAGAAATGATGTACAGAACCTCACACAGAAATGAGGATCGTACCCGAATCATGACGTTCAATAACCCACTACCTGATATGAACAACAAAGAAGGCAATGATAGCATAAGTCGATATCTGCCATCTTGGTTCCCAGAGGAGGATGTAAGTCCTGCCATCTATTATGTATTATAAATATTTAATTGGGGAGTTATAAGAAATAATCTAATCACATATAATAATTCAGAAAAAACGTTGAAAGTATAAATATGCGCAGTAATTTTTAATCAATACAATGAATCCTGGTTACTTTAGAATCGAGAAAAAACAAAGGGTACTTGACCCGGATCTGATAATGCCGCAATGAGATCAATATCAAAATTCTATACCATAACATGTTTCATTATGTTGTCTGGCTGATCAATACAGATATCCCAAGGTGTACCTGATGATAAATTAAATATTTCTTTTGAAAGTATTCTTGAAAGCATGTTATCCTGGATTATTCTGGAAATATTGTTGTTTAGCTGGAGAAAATTTGAAAAGGGGTCAGACAAAACCTTGGCTTGAAAGCCCATTTGAAAAATATTGAACTCTGCTAAAAGATGTTTTTGGGGGTGAGGTGAATCCCATTTTGTGATTGCATTGATCAGTTGTTTTCCTAGGGTTTATATGTGCAGGTTCACTGTGCAGTCAGTCATTTAGCTTAAATCATGATTTCACTTTGAGGAGGATCATGAAGGTTGAATCAACATAATTATTTTATTTGATTAATGTTGATCTATTGATCTGTACCCCAAGGAAGAATTATTATCCATAAATTATTTATGATTTTCAGGATACTGAATCTGAGCTCAGTTATACCAAGTGGATTCGTCCTAAACTCTCACCACGTAAAAATAACCCCCTTCCCGACCTAGTCCCTGCCGAGGAACAGGATACCCCCAAACAGACCCCTGATACCAAAGATGAAACCTCCAAACCTATTGAATATAAGCCCACAACAAAACCAATAACTACTACAGCTCCTCCTATTGATGAAGAAGCTGATGAACTCTCTCGACAATGGGATTTCCTGGTCGCCTTAAATAAGCCAAACATGCCTCAACAGACATTTAAATTCTTAACGGAGAAAGATGCCGAGTGTAGGGGACAATTCTCTAAGTATTGGAAAGATCTTAAAGAGGCTAGGGAGAGACCTAAAGGATACACATCAGCTGGTGGTGATACAAAGCCGCAATCCGCCATGCCAATCCTACATGGTGACACAGGAAAATCATTTTCATCAATTTCAGGTTCAGGTACGTAGTTCTTGATTGAAAAGTATTTTGGAAGGATTCAGTTCAAAATTTTAATAAAATTTCAACCGAAATGATTTTATTTTGAAAGTATATTTGTCATTTTTAAAACTGTTAATGCTTTTCACTATTAAAGTTAGTTTAGAGCTCATGTATTTTAATGTGCTCGGCTGCATTTTAAACAATCCCCTGATTCAAAACCCGAGACCCCAAAGCTTATATTTGCCTCATCTTCATTGCAGATATCTTTAAGTCGGATAAATCAAGTTCTCGCTCTGTACCTGCCTCCGCCAGTCAGGAGTTCTTCCGTCGCTTTGAGAACACATGGCAACCCCTGAGCATGAATGCCCTTCAGGAGTACACGGCCAAGAAAGGTACAACTGGAGAAGGTGAATTTGATCACGGAGCAACGAAACACTGGACCATAGAGACTAAATCATGAATACAGAGACTAAGCCATACTCATAGTAGGGACCAAGTCTTAATCATATGATATTGGCTTATCTCAATGGAATAGACCGAGTTGACTGGTTGCGATGACAACAGCCAGGTCCCAACCACGGAATCGAAGTCCTTATTTAGACTTACAAAGGTCTGATCATGAAAATCAGGAGGGGGTCTCGTTCATTCTGACAATCTGCCTCACAAAATCTAGTCTCATTTTCAACACTATTTCTTATTGGTTGGAGAAAATTGAAATCGAATAGACCTGTAAATAAAAAGTTCGTGAAATTAACCTTGGCAAAGGAATATAAATGATTCCTATTTGAATACTCAAGAAACTGGAAGATTAAGAAAAATCTTGATTTTATAAGCATAATCTGTGATAAGAATTTTCTAAATATTTTGTATAATGTCATTCCTGTTTATAATGTACATGTATATATGTATTAAGCTTGTGGTCAATATTAATGAAAATGTATTTAAAGCACATGCTTGTCATATGGCTTACCTTGACGAGCAATTGTGAAATGTTTTGCATATAACTATATTGTATAAATGTGAAATCAATTTCAAGTTTGTTTTTGTAATATCAACTACAGGGTGAAAGCTGCATTATTATTATGTTCCAATTAGTTGGGACAACCTGTAAAGTTATATGAGATCCGTCCAATTCCAACATTCCATAAAACATGACATCTGACAACTAACATTCCATAAAACATCTAAAAAAAAACATTCCATAAAACATGACATCAGGCTTTGTAAATTTTCAAGATTCCAAAAATTTTACATGTTATCGAGATATTGTACAGTATATATAAACTTACTGGGTGCTACAAATAACAGGGACCATAATCCACAACTACGCCAAAGATATCGATTTAGATTACTTCAGACATTATGTCATCTGTATAGAAATTGAACATTTCAGGGAAAATCATAGTTTTGTAACAAAATCAGAAGTAAAGATATAAATCACATTTAAAATGTTTAGAATATCTTTGGACAACTTGTGAACCTCACTTCAAATAGGGTGCTATGTTGACTGTTGTCACCATGACAACCTGCATGGTTGCTATGGAGAGACACATCACACCAGTACTGATACGAGGTGCTAAACTGTAGATCGCATGCACATGCTTATTATCATAACTATTATATCTTTCTTTTTTTATTTAGATTAAAAATAATAAATTATATGATAATAATAACTAAACAAAAATGTTACTTTGATTTCAAATACTTTATTTTTTACCATAGAAACAAACAATTATTTTATAACAGTTGAATTAAAAAAGTAACAAAATTATTTTTTAAGAAAATAATATTTCTAACATTTTTTCATTCTTTATCTTAAATTCCATAGTATTGCACTGCTTTTAGTTCATATATGTAGTTGAATAGTAATGTTGTAATACATGTACATATATGTATACATGTAAATCAGGTATCAGTTATAAGGGGTATGTTTTACATACAATATACTGTGTATTCAGAGATCATATTTTTAATATGCAAATTGTGACATATGATATATACGTGTACATTAAAATAAAGAAATATACAATAAATATTTTGTGCTATAAAATTATTAAACTATCTGTTTGTGTAATAGATATGAAAGGAACATTTACAGAATTAATTGGACTAAGTACTTTTTGATTGTCTGATATTATGATCATCATCAGTTTACATGATTCGATCATTTCCTGATTACTATATCACAGGTATGATGTACTCCTCATATGGCACATGGTGATTAAAACAAATTGGTAACAAGAATGTTTATTAAAGCTTAACTTGTCAGCGTGTAATTGTATAAGTGTAGAGTGATTATTAAATACTTATCTCCCGAAGCACATCCTCAAACATTCATATGGCTCCAGTAAGCTATCACATACATTTTTTCTAAATATTTCTCCAATTAATAAATGGGGTAATTGACAAGAGTGGGCCTTCTTGAGGAAAGTTGGTATTATGCAATTTTCTGTTTTAACTTGGCAGAGAGATCAAGTGCTGCCATCTATATGTTGTGGACATGTATTACCAATACAATATACATTCTTAAATAATAAAACACCATCGAAGTTCCATTTGAGATCATTAGGATGGAAATGGTGAAATCATTTATAATAGGGAGGGTGGTGTGTAGTTTAAGCTGATGGGTATCGTGAGAGATCCCATTCTTCTATCAGAACCATTCGCAGCAAGGCAAAGACTATCAGAATGGCTGATGAGGATTGTATGTAAGCTGGAGGTCAGTGTTTCTAGCAGTGTTTATGAGAGCATTATGAATACTTAATGAGTATGTTGTGCATATTCCATTGAGCAAGCCTCATCCACTTCTTGACCAGATTGTAAATTCAGCAGTTCAAATCTTGGGTCTTGTCTATTAAATCTTTAGTCGTAGAAACTGGGGTAATTTTACGGGAATTGCACCTGCCAATATTTTCATAAAATGGGTTCTAAAATAGTGCAAGTTTCCAATGGACACATATATGATGACCAACCACAAGCTAAATGTCAATTTGACACATGAATCTCAGCATAATTCTCCACTTGAGGCAAATTTGCCATGCTAGACTGCAAAGAGTTAAGAGTCTATTTCTGACAATGTCTCTGCTTCCACTCCTCTCGGGTCTTATTGGCATGTTGTATATGCTGAACCTGTTGGGGTAGGTCAGAGTCCCACACTGCTATACAACCATAAAGGTTATCAATATCATTGTCTGACACTGTAATACAAGAAAGACACACAACGTTAATAAAACTGCATATAGCACAATTTGAACAATGTTAAAGCTACATTAGTATATCTTTTGATACACATTGCTTTCAGCGATATATACAGTTTATTATCGACATTGGTTAAAAAGTAACCTCATGCATAGTCTTGCATAAAAGCTCTACACCTCTACACCTCCTACATACTTCTGAACAATGAGGTGGGGAAGAGGGGAGTGTCTGGAGCATAATACAAGACAAGAGGGGTCTGATCTTTTGATCAATTAGTTTTGAAAAATTGGTTTCATGATCTGGGCCTAAAATATTATTGAAAAATTGGTTCCAATTATTTACACATTTTTCCCTCTATTGTCTTAACTTCAAAAACATAAACCATCAAGATGTGATGAGATGAAACCTACACTTACATGAAGTACTGCTCTGGGTGTCTTGGTTACAAAGGAATCCTAGGCCAGCTGTTAATACCCCTGAGAATCTGTTATTGCCATCTAGAAATAGGAACAGAATAGAACTAGTATTCAAGTTATTTTCCGAATGGACAGATGAATGAACTGACTGACTGACGGACGGACAGGGGGCTTCACTATATCCCTACCGAACTCTGTTCGTTGAGATAACTAGGAGAACAAAAAATTGTAAAATGAGGCATTTAAATAGACATATTTTTAGTACTGACATATAACACTGACCTATCTCTTTAAATCCTTAATTTAAAAATAACACTTATCTTCCGGTAACTGTTAATGTGACAGTGACCCCCATGACCCCATACCTTCAAGAAGCCTTACAATATCACAATAAGACATATCCTTTTATTGAACTTTTGGTTTGACCTATAAATGTGACCTTAACCTCTACAGTATTTACTAATATAATATTTCTACCAAACCTGAATAAACCTTTATTTCTATGTACACTGTTTATCATTTTGATATCATACCTTGTGATTGAGCTGCTATTATATGCCTCACCGCGGAGGCATGGCGCTGAATAATGGATATTGCACTTAAAGTTATTGCATCGAATAAAACAAGATGGCCACCTCCTGTACCGACCCAGAGGCTGCTGCGGGACTGGAGCATTAGGGATGTTATTCGAGAATCAATGGACAGACAACTTTGACCAGATTTCCTAAAAAATTAAATATAAGACATTACAAGAATTGAGAAAATAGCACAATCTGCTCATTCAATCTCTTAAAGTTCTATGAGATAGAGGAGCATTTGAAATGCATAACAAACTCCCATAAATCATATATTATAATAGTATTTTGTTCTAAGTTGACATCAATTACTTGAGTATTTGTGCTAAGTTGACATCAACTACTGGAGTATTTGTTCTAAGTTGACATCACTTACTTGAGTATTTGTTCTAAACTGACATCACTAACTTGAGTATTTGATCTAAGTTGACATCAAATACTTGAGTATTTGTTCCAAGTTGACATCACTTACTTGAGTATTTGTTCTATATCTACAGTGCTTCTACAGACTCCCTTCCTAATATCCCATATCTGAAGTATTGCACTTCCCCTGGTTGAGAGATACATCTGAGACTGTTTAACACACAAACAGCTCACCAACAGTCTTTCATTGCTAAAATTCAGAAACATGAGTGTTATTGTGGCTGAATGTTGCAAATAGGCATGGGTAAATAAAGATCTTAGATAATGATGCTTTGGTAGAATCATTTACTTGACAAATTGCCACTACCTTGTAAGATTTTTGTAAATTGTTACAGACGTTGAACGCCAACTGTTACAGACGCCAAACTCTGAACACCGACCATAAAACAGTGTCCAAAAAGGATTTTTTGAGAAAGTCCTAATGAATGAATGCTACTCACTATGAGGCAGGTGCTGTGTCCCATACGCCATCTATCCTGTGTGTATGGTCATTGGATATCTTCATTGCAACAACACGACTGCCACACCCGATATACACCCTATTATTGGTTATGCAACAGCATTTGATTGGTTCTCCAGCATTACCCAGTTTTACCAGTTCTGGTTCAACATTTTTGTCCTGAAAATTGACAAATAGGTCAGCATTAGACAACAAGGCATTAACATGCAAATGTCACCATCTGCCATTTGTTACAGATGCTGAACCCAAACTGCTAAACGCCGGCCACAGAAAGTTGGAAACTATAACAATATGACATACTAAGAATTAAATAATATATGGTATGAAGGAAAGAGACAGAAAAATAATTCTGGCTTTTCTACTCAGAATTTTATCTGTTATATTTCAGCAAGTCTGCCAACAAATTCAGGATCAAGAATCAATTTACAAGAACAAAAGGCAATTTTATCTGACAAGTGTGACCTTTGTGATACAATGCTACATGTCTTTGCTAAGCTACAAGTAGCATATACAGTAGCACCAAACATGTACTATCAATCGAACCATGGACTCTCTTAAAAGCCCATGATTGGACTATACAGAATGGCATGGAAAATAGGGAAGTGCTAGCTATGGAGGGAGATAAAGCAATAAGATCGCAATGCCAAAACCTTACAGAAAAATATTTGAACAGAATATGTAAATGCTGAACATTTACAAGATTTGAACAAAAGAACCATTAGCCATATTTTGGGTTCACCAGTTAATGCATTCACTTCATGGGTGTTAGTAAGGGGTAGGTCACATGATCATGTACAACAAGTATGATTGGTTAGACATGGTCACATGACCCATATCATGGTTCCTTTACTTACTTTAGTGACATGTTTAGCATTGTATAACACCAGGTGACCATCTGCCAGTCCTGCAAGCAACACATCTGTGTCTGATGCACTAAAACAAGGCGACAAAAATACTAAAATAGTCAGTTAGAAAACAATGGTGACTTATAATATCTGTATTTACAGAACAAAATGTATATCTCGTACATTTGCATACCAAATCAACAATATGCAATATCATTATGATGAAATAAATTGATATCAAAAATTCAACTTTGACGGTAAGACATACCCAGCTTTATACTGTTGAAGACACAAAACTGAGTCCGACAGCCTCCTAAGGCTATGTATGGCCTGGTGTTTCTTGGTGTCATACACCCAAATCTTGCCTGACTGTGACCCTACGACAATGGTATTTACACCCAGTGATGTCATACACAGTATCCTAGAGTCCTTGAATATCAAACCCTGTAAATAAGTTATATACTGTACGTTTAAGGCAGACAGTGTGAGATTGTCCTTTGCTAGCAGTAGTGTTTTTTAGTTATTTTTGAGCAAATGAACACTTTCAATTATCCCTTCCTTACTTAAGGAGATGCCCATATATACTGTGTAATGAACTGTACCCATTTTTCCATGAATGCCAACGAAGTGCTAATTTGAGGATGATACATTTAAGTGTGGATTATGACTTTGATTAATACAATGAAACCTGTATATCCGAACACCTCTCTAATCTGAACACCTCCCAATGTGAGAATTTTTCTCATTCCAAAATACAACTTGTATCTCCCATTGACATAAGTGTTTATAAAACATTGAAATGTGAACACCTAATCCGAATACTTTTAGATGGTTCCAGAGGCATTCAGATTAAACAGTATACTGTACTCTAAATCATTCCTACAACGAGGGGCATAGCCAGTATTTTAGATAAGGCGAGGCAAAAATTAATTGGGGAGGCAAATTTAGACTTAAGGAGGTATATTACTATCTTAAGAATTATACTTGTGTAATATTTTGATGAGGCAGTTGCCTTGCATGGCTCATGAAATGCTATGCCCATGTTACCTTTAATGAACCCATTCATACACAGTTATAGTGCATTTCAATAGTAGAGTAAAACCTGTGTATGTAGTGAACACCTATGAAGCAACATAAACATGTTCACTGTAGGTAGGTGTTCACTACAGAGAGGTGATTTTATGAAGGAAACAATGTTAAATGTGTTTTGAGGTGGTGTTCCCTAAACTCAGGTGTTCACTAGAGAGCTGTTCACTAAGACAGGTATTACTGTATATGTAATTTTACCTTAACCTCCATGGCAGAGTCAGTCAGCTTTACCCATGATATTTGTACACAGTCTTTGTCACCACTCCCCACCCAGAGCTCAAGCCTTCCATCTCCACAGCTCTGTAAACACAATGTGTTTGTATGGGAGTGTACATGTACATATCACAGAATTGAAGTCTTACATTTGAACATGTCACATTACTACTCATCTGTGCATTAAACATGCACATACAGAATTATTCTGTGATATTAATGTTCTTGTTTAATGTTTCACATCCCAAAAGTTTGTATGTGAAACGAAATTAATAAATAGTACTATAATTGCAAAATATATTCTTTTCTGTCTTTGTCTACAAAACATATTATTTTCAATACATATTCTATACATATTTAAGAGGTCTTACCCTAACTGTCATGCACTCGACTGTGAGGCCCTTAGAGACGGGGATAATACTCTTCAGACAGAGCAACTCAGCACTGTTCAGGCTCTCAAACAGCTCATGAGACTAAAATACAAACAAGGTTGCAATATTATTATGTAGCATGCAAAATCACGGAGGAATCAACAAGGAATAAATTGAAAATATAAGCACATGTGTCAAAAGAGAGAAATCTACCAAAAAGAAAAAGAAATATCTAAAAGAACAAATGACTGTAAAGAATCACACGCCTTACATCCCAAAAAATGATCTAACATGTCACAAAGAAACAATGTCTAATCTGCCCCGCCCATGCACACCGTAAAAAGAAGAAATATCTAAGAGTACAAATATTTAAAAGTGCCAACGAGAGAAAGCGAAGAGATTGCAAAACACACTAAGAAAAAAAAAGATCCAAGAGTCCAAGTATAACACTGAAAGTGTTTTGAATATTCAAATGACCTGGGCTCCAATATAGCAAATACATGTACAGACTGTAGGGTTAAATTTAAAAGTGAATGCACCTTAAATCACTGCAAAAAGGATGCTCCATTCCCTCATTTGTTTCATATTTTCATATGCATTTCTCTGATTTTTGTTGTTAATAAGAGGAGAGAAAACCCCAGAATTCATAAATGAGATATATATATAAGAATGAGAGGTTCATCTCTGAATTCTGGGAAATTTCCTCTATTGTTGATCTGCAAGATTCCTTTTTAAATGTGGATAGAATTGGGAAATGTGACTCACCGTAGGTCGACTTTCAGGTGTTTGCAGTAAACACTGGTCTAGTAGTTCCTGTAGGTCTGGCCATGGAGCACAGGACTTAGTTGTGATTGGCTCAATAGCTTTGCCCTGAGGGTAAAATCGGAGAAATAATTATAGGTGAACAACTAGAAAAACAGCAACTCCACGGAGTAGCAAATCCCACCGAACAAAACATATTATGCTTATTATAGCTAGTGTAAATGTTGAAATGTTTGTGCACTTTGTGATAGAAGCATGAAATTTGGCACAAAGTTAGTTTATACCATTGTGAACTAGGCAATCATCATTTTAAATTTGAACCAAATCCGTTCACTGGTATATGAGTTATCAAAGATTACGTTTTTACGAATATGGGCCGCCATCTTGAAATTCAGCCCCATCTTGAAAATTATTTCTTGAACAGAGCTACTGTGTCCCTAGGCATAATCATATAAAATTTCAACCAAATCTGTTCACTGGTATTTGAGTTATCAAAGATTACGTTTTTTTACGAAAAATTGCCGCCATTTCGAACATAGCTACTGTGTCCCTAAGCATCATCATATAAAATTTGAACCAAATCTGTTCACTGGTATTTGAGTTATCAAAGATTACATATTTTTATGAAAAATGGCCACCATTTTGAAATTAAGCGGCCATCTTGAAAATGTTTTGTCGACCATAGCTACTGTGTCCCTAAGCATCATCATATAAAATTTGAACCAAATCCGTTCACTGGTATATGAGTTATCAAAGATTGCATATTTTTACAAAAATGGCCGCCATTTTGAAATTAAGCGGCCATCTTGAAAATCTCTTTTTGTGCGAAACTCCTTTGTCCCTAGGCATCAGCATATAAAATTTGAACCAAATCCGCAAACTAGTATTTGAGTTATTAAAGATTACATTTTTTATGAAAAATGGTGGCCATTTTGAATTCAGTGGCCATATTGAAAATTCCTTCTCGAGCAGAGGTCCTACACCCATAAGGCATAAGCCTATAAAATTTGAATCAAATCCATGAAACGGTATTTGAGTTATCGCCTGGACAAACAGACGGACGGACGAATGGACGAACGGACGGCTTTCCTATATCCCTCTCGAACTTCGTTCGGTGGGATAATTATATGAATATGAAGAGCATGAGTATAATATCAATGGATGTATGTTTGCTTTTAATCTTTCTATTACATATCACTGTAATTTTAAGATAAGTAATGTATTTTTCACATATGCCTGCACATCATGTATTTTCAGTTGAATTGATCACATTATGTTTGACATATAGATTATACTTATGCCATGTTACTGGCTTTTCAATAAAAAGTTTCTATAATTTTATAATTTCAGGGGATTTGTAAAACATAGTTACTAATGGAGCATAAACATTTAAATATCTTAAACAGAAGGGAGTTACTGTGTATCTACCTTTAGAACAGCTTCATCTAGTTCACTCCGAAAGGCCAGTTCATCAAATGGATGACGTCCACCAGTTACTAATTCATACAAGGTAATCCCAAAGGAAAATATGTCTGCCTAAAAATTTAAAATACATGTGTATTAGTAGTTGTGAAATAATGTTTCCTTAATCACCTTTGGTGTCCCTAAAAAGTGTTACATTTGCGAGATGTGCACTTACAGAGGTGTTCTACTTTTGCAGTTTCATTGTACATTAATACCCTTGTTAAAACCGTCTACGACACATTTAAACCCCCCTCAAAGCTTGTTCGCTTCGCTCACTTCGTACACTCACAAAATACGCCACTGCTGGGGGATGTTTCATTTTCCCCCTGATTTGACCCATGATTAGAAAAGCCATATACAGTGTAGGAAATAAGCATTCTTTGTGCCTGGACAAATTTTTCCAGTCATTTTGAAACACTCCAGACAAATTGTACACATATTTGAAGATCAAAAATATTGTTGATAAAGAGCACTGGGTTCTTAATGGTTCATTCAGTTCAACTTGATAAATTGGTTGGTGTCTATCAGTAAATGGGGAGGGGGTGCTTTGAGGAGTAAAAAGGTTATTTGCTTTGAGAAGAATTTGTTTCTCCGATAAATACAATAGGCTATAGAAGGCTTATTTGTTTTGCAACAAGCCAAAAAACAATACCTACAACAGTGCGATGCATTCAACTTCAAATTGGGGAAAGACAAATAAATCAAAATGTGCTTACATGTAATTAGTATAGGATTGAGGGTTATTTACCAGATTAAGGTAAACTGCACAAAATACTCAGAATAAAATTGATCATGAAAGAGAATATGGGTACCTCTAGTGTATACGGCTCTCCCCTGGCCACCTCTGGTGCTCTGTACCCCGGGGTGCCCTCAGAAGATGACAGGCCATAAGGTGCCGCAAACCTGGATATACCATAATCTGAGATCTTTGCAGTTATCTGGAACAAGATAAAATAAGATGAAGTAATGCCACAAGATGATAAATGGATCTTAAATAGATCATGAAATAAATGGGTACTTTAAATCACATTTTGCACCTAGTGTTCCAAAATTCATTCAAAGATAAAAGTTTTCCTTTAATTTTTCATTCATGATTACTAGCCCGGCAATAACTATGCTTGATCTATAATAACGATAATGGATTCCAGTCCATAAATACAAATCTTAAGGAGAAAATGAAGAAAGATTGAGAAAACTTTGGTTGCGTCATAGGAATTTCAGACCTAGATCTACTGATCATGAATTTTCTAATACCATGACATTTTTATACATTCTGAAAGAGAAGCTAGCCAAATTCAAAAGTAACTGAAACTGGACCTCAAGGTCAGTGATAATGTTGCACCGTGAATGACAGTGAGGTTTACATACCACAGCACTAAGTGAGAGGCTAAAGATGAGGACATTATCGGGCTTCATGTCTCTGTAGATCACTAGGTGCTGGTGCAGGTAACTCAGCCCATCTGCAACCTGAAACATTTCATGGAGATTGCTGTTGTAGTACTTCAAAGGTGATATGGATCATTGAGGTCTCTGTTAAATCATTGAGCTAGATTGTGAGTTTGTTTTTCTTGAATGGCTGTGCAAGAATTACAACAATCCCCAGTCACAAAATGATAAAGATAACAATATATCACCACTTCTTGGTTGAGATAGTTATGAGATAACAATGTACATGTATGTTATTTACCTGTACTGCAATGCGGTGCTGTATATGCCTTGTGATTGTTCTACCCGCCTTCAATAGTGACCCCAGTGAGCCAAGAGGGGCTAGTTCAAGCACCAGTACTCTGGGATGTAGCCCTATAGCCACCATTGACAGAATGCTAGGGTGATTCAGTCGTCTCAGTATTGTCACCTTATAAACACATGAAATAGACCTTTGTAATAAATGTTATGCAAGGGGATACATTCAAAGTTAAACAATCCTTGCCTTTTCTAGACTCACAACAACACAATTAATAATACTTGATATCGAAAAATTAAAAATGATAAAAAGGAAAATTGATAAAGATACATCATTGTATTTTCCTACCTCTTGTCGCATCATCTTATGTGGGTGAATATCTCCTAACGTATTGTAGACTTTGGCAGCAATTGTTTGTTGGTTGTAGCGCCCTCTATACACAGAGCCATAACTCCCATCCCCAAGAGCATATTCTTGACTAGACAAAACAAGAACAACATATGTTTGGATTATAAATTATCAAAAATATGAAAAATGGACATTTGATTACTGAATACATAGGACAAAAAAAGATTTACTTCTCATTTAATCAATAACCAAAAACATTTGATAATATATATAAGTTTTGAAAATTGTAAGACAGAAGTGTTATATCAGTGTACATGTATAGATGGCAGGTCAGATCTTGATTATTCGCCCATTCTTACTAATTTTATATATAATGATAAATACACATAATATAAATATACAGTGTATATAAATATGTATTGCAACAATCAATAATACTAGAAATCGGCAACTCCACGGAGTAGCAAATCCCAACGAACACTATATGAATTTTACAAGGTCCTAATCATAAAAACGCTACAATATTTGCAATCTACTCTAAATTGCCTTTCATTTGAGTATAATAAAGCTATACTTCAAAAACATCTCAAAATTAACACAAATTTCAGTTTTCACAGCCTCTGGGAGTCAGGGTGAAAACGAAGGATATATGTGAAATAGATACATGTTGTGAATATACAAATAATAATAATTATATTTTATTAATTTTATTCAAATAATATTATTTGTTATTTTTGTTTAAAATGAAAAACATAAGATTTTTGGAAAAAAAATTTTGCGTAAAACTATTTACCAATATACATATTTCCACAAAATAAGAAGAAAATCAGTCTACTAGTATTTGATTTATCTTTCGAATGGATGAATGGAGGACAGAAGGACGGACGGGTTCACTATATGTAATGTAGTCATAACCACAAAGTGTAAACATCACAATTATATACTGTTGTGTTGCCTAGACCACATACTTTGTTATATGGACATTTAGATTGAAAAGAGAAACTGATTGTCTAAATATATTTTGATTGAAAAAGTTGATTTCTTAATTTTACCCCTTGGTGATGAAAGGGTTATATCTTACTTTGCATTTTGTGACAATTCAAATGGAGGTTAGATTCTTAAAGCTGACACTCTCAGCTTTCCAACTGTGTATTGGAACCTTAATACAGAAGACGTAATTTAAAAATCACGAAGGAGCGCACTTAAAGGGTCTATTTTGTTCAAGTATTACCTTTGCACAAGTATGAGCTGGTCTTCATTCAGGATATACTTTGGGTCAAAGTCACATAGCATTACATCAGGTGCTAAATCTACCAGCTTTATTACATCTTCATGATTGGGACATGTGACCACTTCATCCAACTCTGATTGGTCAATCAAGCTAGCCAATGAGAATAGATGGGGCTCTCCTGAAACATAGGTATGGAGCAATTAGGACATGTGACCACTTTATCCAACTCTGATTGGTCAATCAAGCTAGCCAATGAGAATCGATGTTTTCATTCAAAATTCAGCAATTGGTTGCAACCATTAGAATCATTTACAGGACTTGTATATATGTAATCATCTGTAGAACTTGGTAAGCTTTAACGTGTGTATGAATTTTCTGATGATGTGTGATGACCTTTTCACATTTCTGCTTGATTGATGCTATGGCAACTACATGTATGTCCACTGTGTTGCCATAACAACAATGATGGATAATGCTATAATAAAATTCTAACACTATATTTGAACTCAGCATGTAATCTTATCAACAATGAAACCTTTAATATAAATGTTCTTATACAGTATAATGAAGAGATACAACATGTCATAGGTTTGAAGTTTGAAAATTACAAACCATTCAAATTGCTCAATTTGATAAATTTTAAGAAAGTTCAGAAACCATAGATGGTAAGGAGCAGCCATCATACATCGCATAATTATAATACATACATGTACATACTTTTGGCATTAAATAACTTTGATATTACTGATTTGTTGTTGCTATGGTAACCACTAGCTTGTTTTACCATAGCAACCGTTGTGTAAAGTTAATTTTTTCCATTGCAGACAAACTGGATTATAGTATTCTTAAAATCAGACACCATATTTGCAACCAAGAAAATATTGTCCACCATTTTTTTTACAAATGTTCATAAATATGCATTATTTTGGGTGTTGAGGACTTTAATATACAGACACACAAATTAATCAATATTGTTTCATAATTCTTTGACATTTTTATTTTTATTTTTGCTTTTGTACCAAAGTCCCCACAGCAATAAGAAGTTAATTTTTTGCTGTGCACATCTTCAAACACCCAAGAAGTGTAAAATGCACATAAAAGAGTTCAAGAACAAGCACTTACATTCACCAATGAATAGTTAAACTTAAATTTTAGCCAGTGTACAAGCACCAGCACAAGCTGTCGCCAGTATGAATTAAATTCAATAGATAAATCTTATCAAGTACACATGGTGTATATAATGGTCTATGTAAGATAAAAAATAATCATTGTGGCTTAATGAATAAGAGTTGATGAATAAAATTTATGAACTTAGGCCTACATAACAAATATAAAACTTGGATAAAATAAGGTGAACTTTTACATACAATATCTTAAATACTCTTGTAAGAATCTAGCTACTGAAGATACACTTAATTTGGCTCCCGTTTTAATATGACGCAGGGCTCTCGCCAGGCTTTTAGACTGTGGCGCAGCACCACACTCTATTTAGCTCCCTCCACACCCTATTGGCAAATCATGACTGTTTCCACAGTCTAAACTTGACTGAATATACAATACTGCATAACATGAAATATTGCCGTGGATATAAAGTTGCCGATTGCCGAATGTAAAACAGAAACGGCAACATAAAATTCGGAAATATAATTAAGTAATTGTGGGCGATAATATGGTAGTTGTCTAACGTGTGTCAACTTACTGTAATAGGGTAATTTTCTAACGAGTATCAGCTTACTATACTTTAACAAAAATCATAAATAAAATACGATAAAATCGAAGCTTTATTCCCCAGCATAAAATTACAATAAAAAGTCATGTTAAAAAGTTAAAATGTCAGAAGATCTAATTGTATCCAAGTGCTTTGGAAATCCCAGTATTAAAAGTTTTTAATCCCGATATTAAAAGTTTTAATCCTGTTATTAATTGCCTACATAACAAATATAAAACTTGGATAAAATAAGGTGAACTTTTACATACAATATCTTAAATACTCTTGTAAGAATCTAGCTACTGAAGATACACTTAATTTGGCTCCCGTTTTAATATGACGCAGGGCTCTCGCCAGGCTTTTAGACTGTGGCGCAGCACCACACTCTATTTAGCTCCCTCCACACCCTATTGGCAAATCATGACTGTTTCCAAAGTCTAAACTTGACTGAATATACAATACTGTATAACATGAAATATTGCCGTGGATATAAAGTTGCCGATTGCCGAATGTAAAACAGAAACGGCAACATAAAATTCGGAAATATAATTAAGTAATTGTGGGCGATAATATGGTAGTTGTCTAACGTGTGTCAACTTACTGTAATAGGGTAATTTTCTAACGAGTATCAGCTTACTATACTTTAACAAAAATCATAAATAAAATACGATAAAATCGAAGCTTTATTCCCCAGCATAAAATTACAATAAAAAGTCATGTTAAAAAGTTAAAATGTCAGAAGATCTAATTGTATCCAAGTGCTTTGGAAATCCCAGTATTAAAAGTTTTTAATCCCGATATTAAAAGTTTTAATCCTGTTATTAATTGTCTATCGAATGCGGGTAATCACTCAAATTGTCACTCATAATGTCAGGATGTCAGGTTTTCTGAGTCAGTAAAATGAAGGTGATTAAAATTCAGTTGTAAATCAAAATTATATTAGAGGTGTCAACTTAGCAATATTTTATTTGGCTTTACATCAGAGGTGTCAGGTCGGCAAACTTTTATTCAGCAATAACAATTTTAATCCAATTCGGAAAATAAAGCACCCGGATTTAATACATGTTATACAGTAATAGCATGTAACAAGACACACAGTGATAAATATCGCACTTTGAAGAGCAAACTGGCCACCATGCAATTTACCCAGCATGGCCAAAACCTAATCAGACCTTGGCACTAGTCTGCTCTTGCATCTGTAAACATTTCAAGTTGACAAGGTTAGCGGTTTTCCTGCAATTTTGATGACAAGAATTTATTTGTAGTCTCGAACTTTGGGAAAATTTAGATAACATCGTTTGTGACCTAATTTGATGACCTTCGACCTTGAAAATTTAATTTTTTTAGACCTCAGTAGGTGTTTTGTAATTAAGCTGACCTAAATTTAAATCCAAAATATCAATTTAGAAAATCAACTTTTTTGACCTTTTCAAGGTCACTGAAGGTGAATGAAAGGTCAAATCTGAAATCTAAGGTCAGATTTGAACTTCTGAGAACTTGTAGATGTTTTTAAAAAAAAAATTGGGTCAATTTGGAGCAAGTTGAAAAATTCAAAATGGCCGCCAAATTGAAAAATTCAAAATGGCCACCATGTAATTCAGCCAGCATACCCAAAACCTAATCAGATCTTGGCAATAGTCTGCTCTTGCATCTGTAAAAATTTCAAGTTGAACGGATAAGTGGTTTTCCTGGAATTTTGATGACAAGATTTGTTGAAAAATTCAAAATGGCCGCCACGTAGTTTACCCAGCATGCCCTAAACCTAATCAGATCTTGGCACTAGTCTGCTATTGCATGTGTAAAAATTTCAAGTTGAACAGGTTAGCGGTTTTCTTGGAATTTTGATGACAAGAATTGATTTGTAGTCTCAAACTTTGAGAAACTTGGATAACATCATTTGTGACCTAGTTTAATGACCTTGACCTTCGACCTTGAAAATTTAACTTTTTCAGACCTCAGTAGGTGTTTTGTAATTAAGCTGACCTAAATTTAAATCCAAAATATCAATTTAGAAAATCAACTTTTTTGACCTTTTCAAGGTCACTGAAGGTGAATGAAAGGTCAAATCTGAAATCTAAGGTCAGATTTGAACTTCTGAGAACTTGTAGATGTTTTTAATTTGGTCAATTTGGAGCAAGTTGAAAAATTCAAAATGGCTGCCAAATTGAAAAATTCAAAATGGCCACCATGTAATTCAGCCAGCATACCCAAAACCTAATCAGATCTTGGCAATAGTCTGCTCTTGCATCTGTAAAAATTTCAAGTTGAACGGATAAGTGGTTTTCCTGGAATTTTGATGACAAGATTTGTTGAAAAATTCAAAATGGCCGCCACGTAGTTTACCCAGCATGCCCTTAACCTAATCAGATCTTGGTACTTGTCTGCTCTTGCATCTGTAAAAATTTCAAGTTGAACAGGTAAGCAGTTATCTTGGAAATTTGATGACAAGATTTGGTTTATGTCCCGCCCGCCCGCCCGCACGCCCGCCCGCCCAACAGCACAAGACGACGGCAATATAGCACTTTTTCAAAGTGCGATAAAAAGGATAAACATATCATGAATATGATTTATCACGATTGAACGGTTATTCTGAAGAGGTTAGCACCACGTCCTAAATATTTCCTGGTGACAGCCCTGTGACGGATTGACGGATTCAGAAAATCTGCCAAATTAAGAATCCGTCAAATTTCAGTTTGGAATTTTTGTCCAATGCACTTCAGAAATTAAACTCCAGGGGCCCCTTTTCCTGTCAACATGTCATCAATTCTACATTTTTCCAAAAGAAATGCAGAAAATTTCTTTGTAAACATCTGTAATAACATATACAAAAATTAAACTTCAGTCCTGAATCCGCCAAATTAAATAGCCACCAAATATTGAAGATAGTTCAAATCAGGAGTCTAGTTTGCAGTCTTTTTATAATTGACAAAATCTAAGACCTCATCCTCTGATATTGATTCTAGTCAATGATGACAAAGAAAATATATACACATTCTTTACAATTATCAATAGTGTTTTCCTAAATTGACTTGAAATCTGGATATTATCATATTGAAGTTTTTACTTTCAAAAGAATAATTGTTAAACTTGGTCCATTATCATCATCATCCTCATTTGAGTCATGATGCATGCCCACTTTATGTTAATAAACATCTATATTTCAGATGTCACTTTATGGTAATAAGAAGATAATTTTAAATTTGAATGTGATTCAGATCATGAGGGTGATCATCAGCACAGAAGTTATTTATGATAGCCCAGACACACTCAATAGATTAGAATTCTAAATGATATTGGGTTGTGAACAATTTCACATTCAGGAATAGCATAACATGGACTTATAATTTCATTTGACAGCTTACTACTATATTTCCCCTTATGGTAGAATGTATCTTCTCAATAACAGAATGGTAAATGTAGCAGTGTATCGGAATCTAGAACCATATGCATATTATCGGTAACTTTACATATGCTCTAACTGTCACCATTTCATACAGATATCCATATTCTGAACGATAGTACATAATTAACTATGTATCTTTGGCATAAAGCTTTAGTCAAAATTGTCCAGATAGATTTTGCTGAGACATGAGCCAATGCATTTTATTTGCACATCAAATGAAAGAATATAAATTGGCCTTCTTCTGAGGAAGAAGTTGTCGACAAATGAAACAATGCAAAATATAAAATTCAATGGTTCACAATTTCAATCATTTTATACCCCATCCCCTCTGTTTCTATATATATACAGGGTGGGCCAAAAAAACCAATACCCAACTTTAAATCAGAATGAAAATAGCTATGCTCAATATGATACATTGATTTATATATCATTTTAAAGGTAATTCATTTTCGAACAATTTGGTATAAAATAGGACCCACGGTCCTGTGCTCACACAGTTTGGAACCTTCAGAAGAATGTATATCCTGACTTTCAAACAAAAATATTGATTTGAATTTGTAGTCTCGAACCTTGAGAAACTTAGATAGCTCAGTTGTGTGACCTAGTTTGATGACCTTTGACCTTGAAAATTTTACTTATTCAGAGCTCAATAGGGTCTTTTGTGATTAAGCTGGCC